GACTACAATTCTGATAAGGAAATGTTAAGAACTATATTTAAGGGAGAAATATATTTTGCACTTAATTAGGGTTTGAGTTAGATAGGTAGGATCAACATATCTCTAATTATGTGTAAAATATCAAAACCATAATAATGTATTTCGGCAATAACAAATTCTTGATAAAAATATATGGAATTTGCGGAAAAAAGGAAAAAAATATTTTCTAGTATTAAATTACATATTTCTATATCCTCTATGTAATTCGTCAATAAGCAATTCTTTCCATTTAATGCTTTGGGCAAATTAAATGGGATGAATACAAAAAAGGAAACAATTTGCATAACATATTTAGTCGGTGTAATTTGTAATCGAATTCGATGTCTAGTGTTCAAGTCCACATGACATGATCATCACTTGCCGCATTTGCTTCATTCATTTGCTTGATCTCATATTTTAGAGAATGTACTTCTATTTTCATTTCGTTCATCTAATTCGCCAAAAGCCGATTCTCATCTTTCGTAGGTAGACCGTACATTTTACTATAAATTCTACAATTTTCACATTTTGTGAGTGTTCTATGGATGCTGCAGCGGTGCAGCCACTGATTGAACACACGTCGTACGATCGTTTTTTCCTTGAGTCAATTGATAATGAGATGTCGACCCAAGGACTAGGCGATCCATTTGTCATATACGCATTAGTCCATAGTCCTTAAGTCCAATCAAATAACGGCTAATCAATATTTTTTATACAAATCAGTCTTGTTGAATTAATCTAGGTCAACCATTTGACTTACATTCTGATACACTTCGGATAAAAATAGTCTTAAAGCCTATACGAAACAGCACCGTACCGTACGTATAATTTATCCAGGCCACTACTAGTACATGAGTCTCAAACTGTTGATGCAAGGAGAATGAGATTCATGGAAGCGGAAAATAACACCATAACCATGCCAAGATAAAACCTACACTTGGAAGGGTCGTGCTCAATTACCAGTTTACAACATAACTGAGGTAACTGGGCACGATTCATTGACGCGTGGGTTCTATATCGGGATGGTTATAAGCAGTATATATGGTGTCACTTTTCGCCTCCATGAGTCTCATGCTTCTTGTAATTAGTGGTTTGAGACTCAGGTTCTAGTGGTGCATAAATTATGTGTCCTGTCGTTTCATAGTCTTTAATAGGTCATGAGTCATTGATATTTCACGAAGGCAAAAGCAATGAGCGTAAGTGTTTTGTTAAATTCCATAGATGGAAAAACACATAATTTTTTTTTTTGCTAAACAAACCACTTGCCTTCTTAGGTGACAATATATCAGTTAGTCTTCTTGACTTTTCTTTCCTTTAAAGTTTGATCTCATAACCACAATCCTATACAAACACATATAATATTGATCCCTATATTTATATACTTAGTATGTTCAACTTACTCTGATAAATAGGTTAAAGA